AACCAGCAAACATTCATTAAAATCTTGACAACTGAGCACTGCATTCAACTTAGTGGTACCATCAACACAAGAACACAGTTCTTATCTCAAAATGGGGGAAATAAATAGTGATGGGTCCCAGGAACACAGATTTAGGCTACCCCAAATTCCATATTCCAACATGGAAAGTCTCATGACTTTGTAGTAACAAAACAAGGAGAGGCATAACCATACTTTTCAGATACATTAGTGGCTACATCAGGTGGACCATTTATAACAAAGCAGGAATGTCTTCCATAGGTCTCAAGTACTATCTGATGACATCCTTAGCTTTGGTCTGTGGGAGCCAGGGGTCCGTTTGTGTATTCCATTTCTTACCTAACAGTCACAGGGTGTTAGGCTAGACGCAGAGATGGCAATGAGCAGATATCAAAGGAGCTAAAGACAGGCTAAGATAATCTGTAATTTAAGCTCTGGATCTACAAATTGCCAGCTTCTCCACGGTCCTGGAAGTTCTAATGAGCCTTTGTAAACACATGGCTTCTTTATGAAAACTTCCGTTCACAGTACCAAGGGAACTGTTAAGGTTCTGTTCATTAGCTGCTCTAGGCCCAGTGTGTGACACAGACAAGTTCAACAGAAGTCACAACCTCCCCAAAAAAATATCCTTGGAGCAGCCTCTCCCTCGGGAACACCTATCAGGTCTGCAAACTTACTTCTGGGCACTGATTTTATTTATTCCTGGTCTGCTTGCAAATCTCCCTAGCCTACCCACCGATGGGCTGAATTGAGCAGTCCAATACCCAGTGTTTAAGAAACAAACGAAACTCATTCATCATTCATCAAGCACTTGAATGGAAAGAGGAAAGTTAAAAGGACTCACATTCCCTCTGGTTTACTCTGGATCCCACGAGGAAAACTAGGCCAGCCTCGGATTAAATGTGTTTACAAAGATCTGCTGAACAGGAAATGCTGAGGGTGGGACCCAGAAAGTTGCATGCTGCCTCCAAGTAATTCTCATGCCAATGTCTGAAATCACAGACTTAGGCTCCAGCTCCATCATATAGGTTCCCCTTCTTCTCACTGTGAGGAGAAACCAGGGTCAGGGCTGACAGTTGGCAACATCTTCCCAGAGAGACCTAATTAAGGTTGTGATAAATCAAAGTTTTTTTTAAAACCAAAATATCTCTGAAATAAGAGGGCTAATTATACTGTTACAAATGCTAGCCCAAATTGAAAGAGTTGATCCTGAAACTAACTCCATAAGCCACTGGCTTCTTGGTGAAATTGTCAGATCTGGACTAGGAAATACTGAGGCTTGTTCTAATGTAGCAGGCTCATTCCCATGGCTGCCATCAAAAACAGCAAGCATCACACCAGGATGTAGGCGGAGACTGCTCATTGGTTCTCAGCCGCCCAAACTCAAAATAATCACACAGAAACTATATTAATTACAGCACTGCTTAGCCAATAGTTTAGGCCTCTTATTAAGTAACTCTTGCATCTGTCTCCTTTGGCACCTACATGGCATCTCCCTGAGTCTGCCTACTCTCTCCAGATAGTTCTTCCAGCCCGGCTATATTCCGCCCTGCTATAGGTCATAGCAGACCAGCAAGCAAACATCCATGTATATATAGCAGACCCATGGAGTCTGCTATAATCTTCAAAGGCCTACTCCTAATGATATTTTTCTGCCAGCTAAACCCTACTTCCTAGCAAGCATGTTAATCCATGACCCATATGGGGCTGGGGTGGGAGGTCCTTCTGTCTATGTGTTGCTTTTATTGGATAATGGATAAAGAACTGCTTTGCGCCTATGGCAAGGAAGAACAGAACTAGGAGGGGAAAGCTAGGCTGTTATGCTGGAAGAAAGAAGGGCAGAGTCAGAGAGAAACCATGGAGCCACAGGAAACAGATGCTGGAAACTTTACCCCATAAACCACAGCCATGTGGTGATACACAGATTCCTAGAAATGATTTAAATTAATATGTAAAAGTTAGCCAATAAGAAGCTAGAGCTAATGGGCCAAGCCAATGATTTAATTAATAAAGTTTCTGTGTGATTATTTCAGGGTTGAGCAGCCGGGAACCAACAAGCAGCCCCCTTCTTCCAACGTGGGGCCAAGGACAGCTATAAATCATAAACTTACTTAGAACTTCATGAGGGTTTTATGGGTTTTTTTAAATTGTTTTTACAATTATTGATTGATTGAGGAGGTGGTAATTTATTGGAGGGGAGTAATTTGGACACACATGCCACGGTGCATGTATGAAGTCAGATAACTTGCAGATCTATAATCCCCGCACTCAGGAGGTCGAGACAGGAGAGTCAGGAATTCAAGGCAAGCTTCAATGACATAGTGAGTTTGAGACCAGACTGTAATACATGAAATCACTTCAATTTCTTTCTAATTAGAGCAAATTCAAAGTCATCTCTGTAGCAAAGCTACTCTTAGAGTGTTACAGTCTGACTTTACAACCCTCAAAGAGAATGAAATGAAGCCATCACTAGCCAACAGCAAAGTACACCGTAGAAGGAGGTAGGTAGGCAACCGAGGGAAAGGCCAGAGTTTGACTAGGCCTGACACTCTGGTTTCTAGAATTAAAGGCTGGTCCCTTCTCCAGCGTCTCTTTTGCATAAGGATCTCTATTTCTGTAGCAGTAAATTAAACCCACCCCCAATAAGAACAAGGCAAAGCTACTTAGAGCTTGCTATCGCAAAGTAATCAACCAACCACTTGCTTTGACAGAGACTCAAAAGCAGGCAAGAGTCTCCCGGGGGTATCAAGAAGGCTTGGTGTGTCCTGTTTGGGTGCTGTTGGCTTAGGGAAACCAGGGGTAGACTAACTGGGAGGGATTGCCCTTTGTGATGGTTAGAAGAAACCAATACAGTTTTTCTCTAATTAGTGGTGAGATGGGAACGAGGAAAACGATCGGGGAAGTTGGCACTTACCCACCCTGTACTGAGCATTTGGAGCCATCATTACTGAGGTTGTGGTTTATTTTTCCGGACTGCAGAACTAATGATTGGGAATTCTTACAGAAAGGCAACCCTTGTATTAGTATATATTTAGTCTCTCTGTAACACATGAGCCTGTGCTGCCCCGGCTTGAAGGAAGAAAGGCTTGCAAAGTGAAAGACTATCTTTGACATCAATTCATCTAGTTAGTAAATGTACAAATCAGACTGATAATGAAAATAAAATATTCCTAAAACTGCTATTTAAAAATTATGAAAAAATGAACTCATTCAAATAAAATTGCTTCACATTGTAAAGAAGGTGTTCTTCCCATGCATAATTTGTAGTTGCCGCCCCGGCTGATCTGTTCTCGCTCCTTTTGAAAGACCCTCGACGAGGACCTCTTTTCGGGAGGAGACCTCCCCAACGCCAAGTAACAGGCCGAGACTGCACGGATGCAAATCGCAAGAGGTTTATTGAGTAGACACAGGTACCTGTGGGCAGCAAGATCTCTCGGAAGATTTGCGCACCTGCCAACTGGAGGGCGGGCTTTTTATAGGGAAGAGCAAAAAGCAAGTTTACAGAAGCAAAAGCGTGGTTATCGATCGACCGGAATGAGGCGGGGGCATGAATGGTTTCCCCTCTCAGCATGGGTGTCAGCAAGAAGCAAGTTTATAGAAGCAAAAGCGTGGTTATCGGAATGCGGCGGGGGGGGGGGGGGGGGGGGGGGCATGAAAGGTTTCCTCTCTCAGCAACAATCATCCTGTTCCTATCTTATAGCTAACCTGCTTTGTTGACATCCTATCTTATTGACATCTTGCCTTGCACTCTTCCTATCTCTATCTCCTGTTCTCCCAGGCACCTGGGATGTTCTAACGGGAGCAGGCTGGCTGCTGATCCGGAGATTTGTTTAAGACAAACAGGACGTTCCCCCGGGAGCATGCTAGCTGCGGGTTTTGAGGAGGGGGTCTGTAGGGTCTTTCACTTTGACTATTAGAAGGACAAAACTAGAATCTAGAATCAGCTTGGTGAATACAAGGTTTTTGGTCTTCTCCCCGTGCTGTAACTGAAAGACCCTCCAAGAGTGTCTTTTTGTACGGATGCAAACAGCAAGAGGTTTATTCAGATACACAGGTACCTGGGGCGACAAAGTCTCTCGGAGGACTTGTGTGCCTCCAGGTCGGGGTAATGGGTTTATATATGTTTTGGGGAGCAAAAAGTGCGGTACAGAAGCGAGAAGCGTAGTTACAGGGTTTTTATTGGTTAGTTTGAATGTGGTCGAGTTCAGGTCGGGACAAGGTTCCTAGTTCCCGAGAATTCAGATATGGGCTGTCTTGGCTCTTATCTAGGGCAGACAAGGTGTCTTTCTCGGTATTCACCGTTCCTCCCCGCCTGGGACAGACGAGGCCCAGCCACATTCCCCGTTCCTTCCCCGGCCCAGCCACAGGTGTCTCTATCTCGTTTTGGCAGCTTCTAAACTGCCCTTTGTTCAAACCCTGAATATTCAGTGCAAGCCTTGTAAAATGGCATTACCGGTGCTAAGTTGTTTAACAAGCTGGGGGGTGGGGGGTCTTTCATCTGGTGCTAAGCTGCTTAGCAAGCTGGACGGGGGTCTTTCATAACAAATTTGGGGAATGCTGGCGGCAGGGAAAAAAGACAAACATCAACAAAATAAGGGCACTGGGAAATGAAGGGATTTAGAACTGGAATCCTGAGGCTTGAAGGAGGAAGTGAGTGTGTTTTTCAGCTTCTTGAAGCATCTAATGCACAGAACCAGGCGAGTTACTGACGGTTGTATACTTTATATTTTGCTCTTCACGAAAGATTAGAACGGGTGCACTTAAAGGGAAGAGACTTTAATTTAGAATACTAGCTAGCAAGACTTAAGAGCGTGCAATAATTGTAAGGCACAGGAAACAGAGGGTCCCGCGTGCTGCTAGTGAGTAGAAGAGCAGTATTGCTGGGTGGATCTGGAACTCCGGGAGGAGGCTAGTGCGCATCGGAAGGGACCACAGGGCTTTACGGTAACTCTGTGGCTCCTTGGCCTCACCCTCGTGCGCAGGCGTGGAACCGTTGCCAGCGGAGCGGTTGCGGTGGCCCAGCAGTTTGCTGCCTGGTGGCTTGGCCAGCCTGACATCCTGGCGACCGCCCCGCACCGAGAGAGTGTTCCGTGCGCCCGCGGCTCCATGGCTGCGCCAGCCCGAGGTACGGGAGAGTGACCAAGAACGAAAATGTAGGATTTACCAAAGGCAGGAGCTCAGGTCCGAAGGACGTGGGAAGGTCCAGTCCTCAGGCTGCCCCGGACCCCTGGGCGGAGGGAACCCGAACAGGGAGCATCTACCCTGGAGACACTGAGGCACAGAGAAGCCTGGGAGAGCTGGAGCTGTGATACACGCGTCCTGCGTACCGGCGGCCCAACAGGGGATGGAGACTGGTGATCTTCGGGAAAACTGAGGCTGAGGGTCAGAGCTGTGGCACAGGCGCGGGCTCAGAGTCCTGAACCCCAGCATTCTGAGCCACAGATGCCCAGACCATACCCTGGGGTCGGAGTGCGCGAGTATGGGAGAATTGTTGGGGCCAGGGGTCGCTTCGGGCTTTTCGTGCATAACTCACGCCGAGCTGACCCTCCCTCTTCACAATCTAAAAAAAACTGAACTGACTGTCACCGCTCACTCAGGTCGGTTCTTTTGGACCGGTTTGAAATGACGCTTGCCTCCTCCTGATGCCTAGGCTCCATCGACGTGAGTCTCGTGGTGGTAGTCCATGGTGGCGGAGCCAGCAACATCTCGGCCGACCGGAAAGAGCGGGTGCGCGAAGGCATAGCCAAGGCAGCCACCGAGGGCTACAAAATCCTCAAGGCCGGAGGGAGCGCGGTTGATGCTGTGGAAGGAGCCGTGACTGTCCTGGAAAACGACCCGGAGTTCAACGCAGGTAAACTGCGCTTTGCCTAGTGAATAATGCCAAATCGGAGCAAGCTCCTTCCCAAATAGATGCAGTATCGCTGAGTCTGGCTGGCTTTGTAGTCAAACAGTATGCTAGGACAAGATGCAATATTGAATTTATTCATTCAGCAGTAAGCAACATGTTTTTAGAATTTTTAATCTATTAATTCACCTTTTATTTAACCTGATCCCCAAGAATTCAATACCAAAAACAAAGCATGTTACTGGGTAACCCTCCATAGCCTCAAATTCAAGTGCTGGGGTTACAGATGTAGACTTTTTATTTTTGTGAAAATGTGGCCATTTTGATTTTAAAAAGTGTGTGTGTGTGTGTGTGTGTGTGTGTGTGTGTGTTCTCTACCTTCCCCTTTTAGGCTCAGAAATCCTGAAACAGATATTCTGGGAGAGTTCTTTATTATAATATCTGGTCCCTAATAAATAACAAAGTCCCTAATTATCTTTTTAACTAGTAAATTGACTTTGGATATGTCTCTAGGTGGAGAGGGGTTTGTTGTTGTTGTTTTTTTTTAACAGACTAAGCCATAAGTGGAAGCTTGGGGTTTGCAGCCCCCTTTATCCTCTGGGAAAGAGAAAAGGGCCCCCTCCAAAGCAATCCAAAAAGCATCCCTGAATTTGGGAGTTGGGAGAACTTCCAAGTTGGTGAGTATGGCCATGTGCCAGTCCCAACTCCGCACCAAAAGTAAACCCTGCATCTGGTACTCCTCCAGACCCAACTTCACAGCTAAAGTAGGCCTAGCACCTAGCACCCTTCCTGACCTGGTATGTGTGTGTGTCTTCATCTTGCTTCTTGACTGCTCCTTTATATAACATGCTGGTAATATGTCTGACTGAGTCCTGTGAACTGCTCTAGAAAATTAAGGCTCACAGTCATCTGGCAGAAGTTGCGGATTAATCTACTGCTTAGAATCAGCATCTGAAGGAAGGAAGGAATCTTGGGGGACTAAACCCCTAACCTGTGAGGTCAGGCCCTTCAGGTGGCTAGTATCAGGTCGTCAGTGTCTGCCAGAGCACTGACATGGGGAGGGAGCTCACACATCTCTGTCAGAAGTGAAGTGCTGAGGATGTAGGACATCCCAGAGCTCTTTCCTGCCCCCTTGGAGTCTCTCCCCTCTTTGTCGCCAGCTTCAGCCTGTTGACTTACTTTTGTCAGAGTAAAGTAGCTCTTTGTTTCCTAAAAACTCATATAAATGCAATCAGAATGAATTATTTTGTGTTTGGCCATGTTCTAGGGTAATAATCATCACAATTAGTGTCTCTGCACATCCCAGGTAGGTAGGAGTATGTTCTAAAAAATTCAGATTAATTCGAGACCAGCCTGGTCTACAAGAGCTAGTTCCAGGACAGGCTCCAAAACCACAGAGAAACCCTGTCTCAAAAAAATAAAAACAAAAAAAAATTCAGATTAACTCACGCAGTCGGCACTGTAGTGCTGTGATGTAAGCCGAAATATTTTGCTCATCTCTCAGAACCCTTCAGACCCAGAAAGATTAGCTTACTGGGAAGACATTTATTTCTTTTGTCTTAAAATAGAAAATCTAAGATCTTAAGATTAAAATACTTCTTAGAACTGCACCACTCATACACCATCTGTCATGGGAAAAAATTTCAGGATAGCATAACCAATTAATCATCAGTTAGTCACCACGTATGTACGGAGTGTTTGCTCTGTGCCTTGACTCTGTTGGATGCTCTGACTCTTAATGAAAAATGCCATAGGTCGATCCGCCTATCTATAGATTGAGACATTACAGTGCACTTTCACAGAAGTTTCTGGAGACAAAATTTTTTTTTTTTTTTGGCAAATAACTTTATTTTTTTTTTGTTCTTTTTTTTTTATTGCGAAAAGAAGAAAAAAAAACAAAAACAAAAAACAAGTTTCCACCTCCTCCCAGCCTCCCATTTCCCTTCCCCTCCTCCCACCCTTCTCCCCCTCCTCCCACCCTTCTCCCCCTCCTCCCACCCTTCTCCCCCTCCCCCCACTCCTCTCCCCCCCCCTCCCTCTCCAGTCCACAGAGCAGTCCGGGTTCCCTGCCCTGTGGTAAGTCCTAGGTCCTCCCCCCTCCGTCCATATCTAGGAAGGTGAACATCCAAACTGGCTAGGCTCCCACAAAGCCAGCACATTAAGTAGGATCAAAACCCCCTGCCATTGTCCTTGGTGTCTCATCAGCCCTCATTGTTCGCCATGTTCAGAGAGTCCGGTTTTATCCCATGCTTTTTCGGTCACAGTCCAGCTGGCCTTGGTGAGCTCCCCGTAGATCAGCTCCACTGTCTCAGTGGGTGGATGCACGCCTCGTGGTCCCGAATTCTTTGCTCATGTTCTCCCTCCTTCTGCTCCTCCTTGGGACCTAGATTCTATGATGATATGCAAGATATTCGTCAGTATTGCTCTAGGATAGGGTCATTTCAGGTTCCCAATCCTCAGCTGCCCAAGGAACTAACTGGGAACCTCATCTTGGGCACTAGGGAGCCCCTCTAGGGTCATTTGTTCAACTATGTTCATAGCAGTATTATTTGTAATAGCCAGAACCTGGAAACAACCTAGATGCCCTTCAATGGAAGAATGGATGAAGAAAGTATGGAATATATACACGCTAGAGTACTACGCTGCGGTAAAAAACAATGACTTCTCGAATTTTGCATGCAAATGGATGGAAATAGAAAACACTATCCTGAGTGAGGTGTCCCAGACCCAAAAAGATGAACATGGGATGTACTCACTCATAATTGGTTTCTAGCCATAAATAAGGACCACGGAGTCTACAATAGGTGAACCTAAAGAAGCCAAGTAAGAATGTGAACCCAAGGAAAAACATATAGTTATCCTCTTGGCTAAGGGAAGTAGACCAAATTTCCGGGGAGAAAATGGGATCTTGGGGGTGGGGTGGGATGGGGGTAAGGGGAGATGGGGAGAGAAAAGGTAGAAGGGAAGGAGGGGGGACCTGGGGAAACAGGAGAATTGGAATAAAGGAAAGGTGGATAGGGGAGCACGGAACCACAATTCTTAGTTAAGGGAGCCACTTTAGGGTGGAGACAGAATTTATAGCTGCTTGTCAGTCAGTGTGCCAGCAGGGTGGGCCACAGCCATGCCTGTGAGGGTCATTCTAAGCTGTGTCTACTTGCAAGAAAGACCAGGCATGCTTGAGACATACAAATATACATGCAGGCAAACACTCATACACATAAAATATAAATTTAAAAAAAACACAACAGAACAGAAAACAAAGCAAAATCCTGCTGCATATTAGGTGGCTAGAACATTGAAACTTGATACACACTTTGAAGCACACAAAATTTTATTTGAAGCACCTAAAATTTTTAGAAGAAACTGTTTAGGAAAAGGGGCTAGAAATTGACTTTCTTGCCCTTATTTTGAAACCTCCAAGTGATTGTGAAGTGTCACCAAGTTCAGAAGCCACTATCAGAGTGCCTTACACTTTTAATGTTTTAATCTCATGTATTTACATGCAACAAAATCTCCGTTCCTAAGGGATAGTTTTGCCTGCCAAAGATAGTATGCTAACCACTGCCACAATGAAGATCAGAAAGTCCCATTGTCCACATCCCTTGGATTATGTACTTCATGCAGCCATATACCCTGCTAGCAACTATTTCCTGCACCTGTGGTTTTTGCCACAGTGTCACAATGAAATCTTGTGACATGGTAAGTTGTTGCATCTGAGTTCCGCTTACCGTGATGTGTTAATGATCTCCAGAGCCACAGGGATCCATGATGTCGTCCTTTTATAGCTAACAGCATTCCGATATCTAGTAAGTGCATCACAGCCAAGGAGAGCCCAATACAGAACCATTAACTTGCTTAAAACCTGAATTTCTACATTTTTATTAACTCAAGTTATGTGGCTCTTGAGTGTGAACTTCGGAAATAAGTATTATAGTATCAAAAGATTGGACCCTACCCCTACCCCAGTAAATATACCACCACTTGTATAGCTGTTTGCCAGCTGAACATGGTCCACCTGGAGGCACCTTAAATTAAATCACTGTAAACACAAGGAGAGCATTTGCACATAAACTCAAGTTTTACTTCTTGGCCATTCAAGAGAGGTTGTGGTCTCATTTGACAAGAGTGTGCATAGCTTTATTTGGAACTTGCAAACGTTGTGGTTGTTAATGTCTTCTTCTGTTTCCAGGAACACACAAACACTCCAGTGGACTGTTGGGTTTTTTTTATTTTTTATTTTAACTTTAGCCAGCCTGACAGTCAAAGTAAATATGTGTTGTAGTGCTCATTTGCATACCCTAAAATGGTAATTGTTAAACGTTTTTTGTATGTGAAGTATCTATTCATTCAAGCCCTCTGTATGTTTTTATTGGGTTATTTTCCTCCTGAAGAGTTCTGGGGATTCTTTTTATATTTGAGCTATAAATCTCTCATCAGACATATGAATGTGATCAGCAGATGTTCCTCCCTCACTCTGACTTTGTCTCTTCTGTCTTTTGTGCATGTCTTTCAAAGAGTGTAGAGTAGAATAAGGTAGAAAAGACTGGTTATGAGATAGTGGCTTCTTGATTTGTTTAGTGAATCACTTAAAGCACTGCCCGTTTGTCAAGCCTGACGACTCCACTGTTAACTGGAGCAGAATGACCTGGAGAGTTAGCTGAAACAATGGCCGTTGCCCTTAACAACCTGCGGGCTGCCACGATGCCGCGGTAAAATCCGGGTTTGCTTGCCAGCCCCACCTTGTGGTTTCTAGAGTTTAAAATGAAAATACGAACTGCACCTAAGCCCGTGCTGGCATCAGCCCACCACTGTCACCTCCTCTTCCATTCCCCTTGGTGCGGGAGGACCTTCTCCAGAAAGAGCCCTGCATCGAGTGCATGGTCTTCATTTTGTAGAAGCACAACTTAGCCATTTTTGTTGTTGTAACAAAGCATGTGTTTCCTATCATAGCTTAAAGAATATTACCTAAATTTTTTCTTTTTGGTTCTTGTCTAAAATTTTTAAAT